AATATATTGGAGGTAGATTTTCTTTCATAGATATTGATCAATTTATTATTGATACTATAACAATACAATTACCTTATCTTTAACTTATTTAAAATTAAGGATTTGTATCAGAAATACCCTTAATTCAAGGGACCAAAATGATACATAATATTATCTTAGATAAAATCATGTTGTCTTTCAATTAGTGGATTCAATCATACACGTCTAAGAGTATTCGAAACCCTTTTCACCAGAAGAATACTCTTCCCAAATCTTCAATTTGATCTTCCATTCGTGATTCTGTTCAATATATTTCTCCATACTTGACTAAATTTCGAGAAAAGCGAGTCTCCATTTTGATCCCCTTTTTACTACTTAAATCAAAAGAATTGACGTCTTTAATTGCAATATATCTATCATCAATGGTGTTCATATTCCTGTCATTCATTTTTGCCACCGATAAATTCATAGTTGTTTCATTCAACTACTTTATTCAATAATTTCGTCTGAGTCTCCAACATCTGTCATTCGAGAACAATGAAATTTTTTATTAGTAAATTGACCGATACGATTTTTATCGTTAAATAGAGTAATAAAAAATGAAAAACTACCTTCAAGAAATTTTGTTGACGCACATTATCCACAAGGAACAAATATCCTTCAAAAATAAAATGTTAAAGGACGTGAACATATATTCGTCATCAAATAATGTGGTTGATTACCAACCTAACCTAACATAATTACCTGGTCACATCGAGACTACGTTCAACGCCTTTTTATCACTTCCAAGGTGGTTGGATCAATTGATCAACGACACCATGATTAAGTGAGTAAAAATTTCATTCTTTGTCATATATCTAGGGTTGGACATGGTCCGTTTCCGAACCAAAATAATAAATGGAACACTCGAGTCCAAATATAACTATTGAACCGTTCGGGTTCGGTTCGATTCTGTTCAGTTCCGTTCCGTTCCATAATTAATTTTTTAAACATTTACAACAATATTGCATAAATATAACTAACGACATGTCCATTCGTAACTTTTACAAATTA